CGCCAATATTTAATGATTTATGGTGATGTACTTTATTTTTAAATTCATAAAGCAGCTGGAAAAACAATAACAGGAACAAAACAGACCCAGCGAAGTGGTTCTGATCAAAAATTAAGCTGCAGTCATCAACTCAGTAACTGAGTCCATGAGGATGGGCGCTAAACACTCCTTCATTCAGGATGGCACAGGAAGCATAAATGCTCCTACCATTCTAAAACTATCCCTGCTTTAATGTTTATTTTGAGCTTCCTACACACTTAGTAGCTTATTGGTCTCTTGATTAGAAAAATAACATTAAATTCTAACTAAGGAGCAATCCTAGTTCAATAGAAGCATGTTAAACATATTCCTTAAAGGTTCTCATTAGCAATGACTCACTTGCCAAATGTGATTCAATGTGCCAGCTTTATTTAGCTGATTTATTATTTTTAATTGCATGCCTCCTAAATATGTTTCCAACTAACACAGTTGTGTTAATCTGCATCTAGAAAGAGAATCTTTGAAGAAAGAGAATTGTCTTCAAGATAGTTTCCAGTGACTTAAAAATAGTTTGTAGGGCCCAGCACGGTAGCCTAGCGGATAAGGTCTTCACCTTGCACATGCCAGGATTCCATGTGGGCACCAGTTCTCATCCCAGCAGCCCTACTTCCCAACCAGCTCCATCGTGGCCTGGGAAAGCAGTCGAGGACTTGGGACCATGCACCCACAATGGGAGTTCCAGAAGAGGCTCCCGGCTCCCGGCTTCGGATAACGTCAGCTCCGGCTGTTGCAGTCACTTAGGGAGTGAATCAACGGACGGAAAATCTTCCTCTCTGTATCTCCTCCTCTCCATAGATCCAATAAAAACAAATAAATCTTTAAAAGTATATGTATTCTATAATTTACTATGATTTTTTTTTAAGTTTACTCTGTCACCTCCACTGTTCCCTCCAAGGATTCTTTTCCAACCAATCTTAGAAAAGGCCCGTGAGACTGCTGTTGCGAATTCCAGGGAAAGCATTTCACAGGAAAACTTGCTGTTTATTTAAAAAAAAAATAGTAAGACAAAGAAATAAAACCTGGGAATGTGATATAGTCCCCTCAGAATAGGAAGGACAAATTAAAAACAAAAAAGTCATTCGTGGGCCCGGCGCGGTGGCGCAGTGGTTAAGGTCCTCGCCTTGCACGCCCGGGATCCCATATGGGCGCCGGTTCTAATCCCGGCAGCCCCGCTTCCCTTCCAGCTCCCTGCTTGTGGCCTGGGAAAGCAGTCGAGGACGGCCCAAAGCTTTGGGACCCTGCACCCACGTGGGAGACCCTGAAGAGGCTCCTGGCTTCGGATCGGCATAGCATCGACCGTTGCGCTCACTTGGGGAGTGAATCATCGGACGGAAGATCTTCCTCTCTGTCTCTCCTCCTTGCTGTATATCTGCCTTTCCAATGAAAAAATAATAAAAATAAATCTTAAAAAAAAAAAAAAAAAAGTCATTCGTTCATGGTTGCTGCACAATGAAGACCACTGCTGTGTCAGTACCCAGCCCACACGGCAGGCACAGCCAGCCCTGAAGCTGGGCAAGTTTGGATCCTGGATTTTTTTTTTTTCCCCTATAGCTACCGATGTACTAAAATAAAAAGTGAGGGATGGAAGGAAGACCGATACACGGTGGAAGGATTTCTGATTCCACTGTTCAGTAGAACACCAGGAGCACCAGGGTTATGAAAAGGTGACTCCAGTTCTCTGCTCATTATCAAGCCCGCTGTCACTGTTCCTGAGCCAGGCGGATGCATACAGGCGGGAGCACAAAGCTTTCGGGAGCCTACCAATCATGTGACATTTGCAGAACATGTAAGAATTAATAATAATTTAAAAAGTATTATTTTTGTTCTTATTTTCAACAAGAGAGAGAAAGAAACAATAAACATAATGAACTGCAAACTCTCACTATAGGGATGCTGCAAAGCACATGCTTATTAATGCGTTAGTTGAGCATTAGTTACTGCCCCAACTCTGCAGCTAACACAGTCATCCCGATGAAACCGGAAGGAGGAGTGCGAGGAACCACGTGCTGGAGTGCCGGGACTTGGAGCGCAGGTGGATTTCAATGAACTCCACTGGGAGGAGCTGTGAAGCACAGACTACAGTGGTGCTGGGTATGGGTTGATCAGCAATGAGGGCCTTGCAACAGCCTCAGCAAGTGCTGGCAGCAAAAACAGGTTCCAACCTAGCAAGGTGTTCCTTAAAGGCGCAGATAATGAAGAACCGCCTAATTATCTTTGCCATAGCTTTTGAAAGGTTAACACGTTCATGTTCTAAAATCTAACTAATAATAAAAAGTGTTGGGCCCGGCAGTGTGGCCTAGCGGCTAAAGTCCTCGCCTTGAACACCCCAGGATCCCATATGGGCACCAGTTCTGATCCCGGAGGCTCCACTTCCCATCCAGCTCCCTGCTTCTGGCCTGGGAAAGCAGTCAGGGACGGCCCGAGGCTTTGGGACCCTGCACCCGCATGGGAGACCTGGAAGAAGTTCCTGGATCCTGGCTTCAGATCGGTATAGCATCGGCCATTGCAGTCACTTGGGGAGTGAATCATTGGACGTAACATCTTCCTCTCTGTCTCTCCTCCTCTCTATATATCTGACTTTCCAATAAATAAATAAATCTTTAAAAAAAAAAAAAAAGTGTTGCCACCTGAATATACATCCTAACCTTTCAGTTTCTAAGAAACTTCTGATAATTCAAACCCTGCAATAAAAGGGAAATTATATAATAATGGGAGAAGTCTTACTTTTTTAATTCTTTTTTTTTAACTGAAGCCTTTTTTTAAGGCAAGAGTTATCTCATATTTCATTAGAAATATGACTCACTGACATTATGGGAAAAGAATTTTTTTTAAATGACAGGGCAGTTTTCTTAAGGAGGTTCTGCTTTTACTGTCTATTAATCTCCACACTGTTTTTTTTTTTTACTTTTTTGTGCACTAGACACATTTCTAACACAAAATGTACACTGTCAATGCTGCTTATCTTTTTAGAGCAGAAAACATTTAAGCTCAATTTCAAAGAAAATCAAGTGTTTTAATAAGACAACATTTTATTTCTATTGACATATTCATATGGACTAAAAGACATTGAAACATAATATTTTATTCATACTTAAATAAAATATGCAGTAAAATGATCAGTTATGCCAGGCCTGATGCAGTAGCCTAACAGCTACTTACATCTGCTAGGATCCAAGATGGGTGCTGGTTTGAATCCTGGCTGCTCCACCTGCCATCCAGCTCCCTGTTTGTGGTTTGAGAAGGCAATGGAGCATAGCCCAGGACCTTGGAACCCTGCACCCACATGGGAGACCCAGAAGAAGCTCCTGGCTCCTGGTTTCAGACTGGCTCAGCTCTGGTCACTGTGGCCATTTGGGGAGTGAACCAGTGGATGGAAGATCTTTGTCTCTCCTTGTCTCTATATATGCCTTTCCAATAAAAATAAGTAAACCTTTTTTTAGAAAAGGTTTAGTGTCTCTGCCTTGTTATGAAAAAAGTCAGATAAGTCAATTAGAAGTGTTATAAATAAATTTATATTATTAAGTTTTTGCTGGATAGATAGGCAAATGACCTGTGCTCCCTCCCCATGTTGAAGAAGTAAAATCAACAAGGACAGATGTAGCTTGCTTTGCCCACTCCCTGGCTCACTGCTCTTTCGGTAGGAATGACTGTTCTTCACATGGCCACTCATCATTTCAAATAGCTTTTGCTTTCTGCGTTTCTGTTAGGGATGTATCTTGAAAATAAAATTTTCCATCAATTTTAAGGGAAAAAAAAGTACTTTTCTGCAGTTATGCTTTATTTTTTTTTTCTCTTAATATTTATTTGAAAGAAAAATGAGTGCAACAGCCAAGTTTATGGCAAGATCAGATCCAAGCTCCGAGAAATCAATCCAGCTCTTCTATGCCTGGCAGGGAACCGACTTGCTGAGCCATTAGAACTGTCGCCAGCAGTCTGTCCTGGCAGGAAGCTGGAGCCAGGAGCTGGAGCCGGAGTGGAGCTCAGGCATTCCTAAGTAAGATGTGGCTACATCAACCACTGGGCTAACCATCCTCCAAAATGTTAATTCTTGCTATTCAGGCAGCTATGAAATGCCAACTTGCACTTTCATTGGCCATTGCAAATTAAACTGTAGGAGGACAACTGATTGCATCTGTAAGCCTAGCTTACAAAACAGTGATTCCTCCAAACAAGTATGGGGAGACAACTGATGGGATCAACAGGCTTATGGGAACTCCCCTAATCTCTATGCAAATTCCACAAACCCCTCCTCTCTTATGCCTATCTGACCCTTAGTCACGGAAGGCCTGATGCTGATAAGAAACTTGGGTTATTGACCATCAGTCCGCAGTCCACACGTAGGATTGTCGGCCCTGTGCACCAAGTCCAAGTGCAGGAGAGTGACCACTAAATCTGTGAAAGAGATATTCCTGGGTTTATGGACGTCTCCTATTTTCTTCCTTCAGTGTTTTACCTCATAGCTTTGCCAATATTCCTATACAATGTCTTGTCTTCCTCGTTAAACTTAAAGAAGTCTTCTTTATAGAATTAGCAAATTAACAAATTAGCAAGTCAGAAGGATACTAGATTTTATCAACTTGCCCTTACTTTTTGCTCCTAAATGATACTTTTTTAAAAAAGATTTATTTTTATTATTTTTTCTTATTGGAAAGGCGGATATACAGAGAGGAGAGACAGAGAGGAAGATCTTCCGTCCGATGATTCACTCCCCAAGTGAGCGCAACGGCCAATGCTATGCCGATCCGAAGCCAGGAGCCTCTTCTGGGTCTCCCACGCGGGTGCAGGGTCCCAAGGCCTTGGGCCGTCCTCGACTGCTTTCTTGGGCCACAGGCAGGGAGCTGGAAGGGAAGCGGGGCTGCTGGGGATAGAACCGGCGCCCATATGGGATCCCGGGGTGTGCAAGGTGAGGACCTTAACCACTTGTGCCACCATGCGCCGGGCCAATGATACTTAAAAAAAAAAAAAATATGGAAGCCTTCACAAATTTGCATGTCATCCTTGAGCAGGGGCCATGCTAATCTCTGTATCATTCCAATTTTCGCATATGTGCTACTGAAGCGAGCATCTTAAATGATAAACTTTAATAAATTATTTTTAAACATGACGTAAGATTTTTTCCATAATAAAAAGTCTAATATTGAGACATGTCTGTTATAAAATCACCTTTCAGAAGATAAATCAGGTATTCAAATATGCAGTTAAAATAGTACACACTTTTATTTAATGAAGAGTTACTGAATTATTTTAGGTTTACTTTTATCCAGGCAGAGTGACATGTAAGAGAGGAGAGACGGAGACAGACAGCTTCTATCTGCTGGTTCATGCACCGATGCCTACAATACCCAGGACAGGCCTAGGCCAAAGGCAAGAGCCAGCAACCCCATGCAGGCCTTGCACACAGATGGTAAGGCATTCAAGAACTGCGGTCATCATCTACTGCCTCCCAAATACACACCAGCAGGAGCTGAATCAGATGCTCTCAGTGATCAAGACAGAAACCAGAAACATCACAAATTACCCTACGATACCATTCATCCTTGACATATATCCTGGATCACAAAAATCATAATATTGAACCATAGTTGTATTTCTGTGATAAAAAAAAAAAACAACTCTGAGGGCTGGCACCTGCAGGCAGCCACCAGTAACGCCAGCGTTCCATGTGTAGGTTGCTCGACTTCTGTCTCAGCTCCCTGTTAATGGCCTCTGAAATCTGATTTCTGAAATGAATTTTCAGTTTTCATTTTTCATTCTGTCTTGGATTTTTAAAAAATGAATACTTCAATTTCAAAAACTGAGCAGGGGAGGAAGCCCTCTTCGGTAAATTCAGTATTGGCAACACACTATTCAAGCATTTGTTTATGTAAAAGACAGAGCTGGAGAAAGAACTGACCCAGCAATTGCAACCACCAGCATGTGCATAAGCTGACTGAGGCAACGGATTGTGCTGGACCCTGTACTGGGAAGCACACACAAGAATCAGGTCTGGGATCACCTCAGATGAAGCTTCTAGAGGGACACCCCCAACTGAATTATTGGACGCAGAACCCCAACCATGGAGAGAATTGCAGGTTCCATGGTCTGACTGTGGAGTGCATGTATCAGAGCTGGGCCTCCTCCATGGCTCAGATGGAGTAGTGGACAGTACATCCAGGTGCACATGGAGGATGCGGCAGTGCATTGGAGCCTAGAAGACATCTAGTACCATGAGAGGACAGAACAAATTGATCAACCACCCCAGCCAGTGCTAGCAGTGAAAATCTGGGCAGAGACTCTAAGGTGGACTATGTCAGCCAGTGGATTCTGGAGTGATTTCACGGTGCCTGGAGTGCCGAAATTGACAGTAACTCAGAACTGTTGAACTACCGAAACTGCATGAGCAGGACCCTCGGAGCTTGCCCCACATCAGGGCCCTGGGGTGCTGTTGGTGGCTGTCCTCCATCCCAGGCTGCAGAGGCATTTGTGAGGCTGGGTGCGGCTTCTCTGCTTGCCCACCGCCCCACACCCTTCCCAGATATAGGAAGGAAAAAGAAGAGAATGTGGAAATGGTGATCTCACACACCTTCCTGTAGCCCTTGACCCTTATCGCCCTAACCAACTATCATCAAAAATAAATATAATTAATAAACAAGATTTATTTACTTGGAAGGCAGAGTCACACACACAAACACAGAGAGAGAGAGAGACAGAGAGAGAGACACCTTGCAGCTGTTGTTTCACTCCTCAAATGTCTACAACTGCCAGGGCTGGGTCAAATCAGGCTGTTTGGAGTTCCACCTGGGTCTCCCAGATGGGTGACGGGGTGCAAGCACTTGGGCCAAGTTCTATTGCTTTCTCAGGAACATTAGCAAGAAGCGGGATTGAAAGCAGAGCAGCTGGGAGTTGAATCCACATTCTAATTTAAGGGGAGAGCAAAGTAGGTTGCGATTAACCCACTTTGCCACAATACTAAGCCCAGAGGCTGCTGTTAAAAACATCCATGGATGCATCAGAGGGTTCTTTGATTTGTAACCACTGACCAATGTCTTTATCTAATAGGATCTTATTTTCTTTTGCTATCAGTTTCATAAATAGTAGTTTTCCTGACCTTTTTTTTTAAAGTTTTTAAATATACTACAATAACATCCACATGAGAAATAACTTTATATTTTTACTTTTGCTTCTATATTTCAGCTCCTTTATTGATTCTTAATATTTTTTATTTATACCTCAGATTTTATTCTAATCATTTCTCGGCCTTTTGGCTAAGATCAAGTGCAGATTTTATCCTACATGTTCATTAAATTTTCTTATTAACTTTTTCAACTACCTTCAAATTTATTTTGGATCATCGTAATTTTAAAAAATTTGAAAGACTGGCTGATTAACATTTTACCTTTACTTGCTTCTAAAACACATATTTATAATACAGATTTCTTTTAAATTTCTGCAATAAATATACAATACAACTTTAGTACATAGTATCCTATGATAATTTATTTCTAACTTTCTTCTATCACCCAGTAAGTTTTTTTTAAATGAAAGCATGTGACTTCCCATTTCTAAAGAAATTTTTATACATTTGCTTTTTGTAGTTGCTAGCAGATGATGTTAGCAATTCCCTTTTTGTGGGAAAATGAAGCTTATGTGATAACAAAATTATTTCGAAGAGAAGATATCTAAATTATGGATAATTCCCCTTGCACACACCGGGATCTCGTATGGGCACTAGTTTGTATCCTGGCAGCCCCATTTCTGATCCAGCTCCCTGCTGTGGCCTGGATAAGCAGTCGAGGATGGTCCAAAGCCTTGGGTCGCTGCACCCACGTGGAAGACCTGGAAGAGGCTCCTTGCTTCAGTTCCGCACAGCTCTGACCTTTGTGGCCACTTGGGGAGTGAAGCAGCGGGCGGAAGATCTTCTCTGTCTCTCCTCTCTGTTTGATTTTGCAATAAAAATAAATACATTTTAAATTATGGCCAATTTCATAAATCCAAATTGCTATGGAAACTCCTTTCCTCTCACATGTTAAGCTATCCGTTCCTGAAAGCAGCACATTTGAAATGTCCAGAGGGGGAAGTGTGTCCGAGAGGAGCTCTACTGCTTTTGGAGCAAACACACTCTCACTTTCTTTTAGCTCTCAGATGACAGGTTCACTTAGATCAGGGACCAACAACTGTCATTTCTCAGAAACCTAGAGAAACTCTTGTGCAGCAGTGGCTTCCATTCCTGATAATCAGCGTCTGGTCACTTCCGCTGGGTTCTTCTGAAGCTAAAATCTGTGCTTTCTCCGGGAAAGTGTCAAGGTTTCACTCGCTCACTTGGCAGCCTGAGGATAAATCCAACAGATTTGCTTGTTTGGGTTCCTTTTGCTCTTTGGGTGATCTTGTGATCCTTAGAGTTTATTCATAGTTTATTGGAAATGCTACTTGTCCTCTTTGCATACTCCAGAGCTTTCATCCTTTGTCATCTTCTTCTGTTGTCCAATCACACGCTTCTTCACTTTAAGATTTTCTTCCCTGGACTGGGCTTTCAGCGAGGTAACTGCATTCCATATCAGACTGCCGGCCTGGCCTTGACCCCTGCCTCTGGCTCCTGATTCGGGAAGCTGGACTGTTAGGTGGAGCAGGCTGGGACTTCACCGGCTGTCAGCCTGCTGCACCACGGCACAAACCTCACCAATACTTCCTTTAGCTGTGTTCAACCCGCTTATTATCCTCCAGAATTTTGAAAAAATTGCAATAATAATAATGTTGACATTTACAGTCGCTGGATTTGTTTTCAGTTCAACTGCTAATTTCTAAAGTAGTGACTCTCAAGTTTTAATTTTCTACATTATTTAAACCTTTTAAAAACGTATATAGTAACCTTAATTTATTTTATTTTGGTATTACTATATTTTGTTTATGTTTCTATTTAATACTTGTTCATGTGGATCTATAGTTTCACACATTTTGCTACTATTCCCTCTTTCTTCTGAGATTTTATTTTATTTTTCTGATTTGGTGGATGAGAATTTTACAAGCCCTGGTTTCAGAGCACATTCTAGAAGAATTTACGTTTTGTTCTGTCAGGTGGTCATGGTCAGGGATGACTCATTTCCAACTGAACCCTTAACTTGGGGTTTCCTCAGATGTCCATCATGGGAAAACTTGCCATCCCAAACTCACGTGAAAACCCACAGTCTTCGTGGATTGTTCTTGCACCAATTTGATGAAGAAGCCGAAAAGGAAGTCTTTGACATTTCTTCTGAAATTTTTTCTGTCTTTTCATTCATGCAGTTTGAGGCGTTCAGAAATTGGGCTTTGGGCAAAGTCTCCTTGTCAATCCAGTCCAAAAAGCCTGAAGATCTTGCCTCATGTCCCGGGTGGTACAGATAAAATCCAGCTTTTCGGTACACTGAATTCAGAAGACATGCCTGTGACAGCTTTCCTGCCATTAAATTTAGCTCTTTAATGTCCTCCCACAGTTTCTAGACACTGGAAATTCTTTTTTGTCACATATTCATTGAAAAAGTGTTTCTTTCCTTTGATCCAGCATTTCTGTTTAGTTTGATGCTTCTCAGAATATCTGTATTCTGAATTGGCAAGAAACGAAATACAGCACATAACTCGTATTTTTGATTTAGCGTATGACATTTATTTTAAATATTGGATATTATGGGATGGACATTTGGTCTAGCAGTTAAGACACGGATTGAAATACTCACAACTCCTGCTGGAGTGCTGGATTCTGAGAACTAACACTGTTCCTGATTCCAGCGATGTGCCACTTCCAACAATGATGGCCCAAGCACCTGGGTCCCTGTCACCCACAGGATCACCCAGACCGAGTCCTGACTTTTGGCTTTACCCTAGCTCCATCTTGATCACTGCAAGCATTTGGGAAATGAACCAGCAAGGAAAAGGTTTGCCTCTATGTCTGTATAGTCCTCTTTGCCTGTCAAAGAAAATAAATAACCAAAGAGTTAGCTAACTAACTGAAGAACTAAGCAAATCAAACACTTGCACTTGATGCAAGTTAGAAACAACCACTTAGCTGGAAACTACACATGTCTATACATAAATATATTGAATGAGGCTGTCAGC